TTTCTTTCCAAGGAGTAGCTGGTGGGTTTGAACCACCAGCCTTCTGGTTAGTAGTTAAATGCCTTAGGCACTACACCATCAGAGAGCATCGTTCGGATTCATAGCGATCCTATATACAAGAGAACCTCTCTGGTCCTGCACCATCCTTAAAATCATTACCATACTTGACCCCCTTGTTGCAGCCACTGTGTCAATCCATCATTGTTGAGGGTCTTCCTTTTTTTCACAGACTCTCTGCTTCATCAAGAATGATATCCTTCAGAGACTAGTCCCTTCTTCAAAACCCTACTCTGTCCTGTAGGGTCACTATCAGTCAGAATCAACTTGAGAGCAATGGGTTTTTGGTTTGGCTTCTTGGCAAATGCTGGTCTTGGTTGGCCCAATGTTCTGTTCAAGTGTTTGATTCAGATTATATCTTTTGGTTGTTGCAGAGGAATGGCAGTTTGTAAATTCTCCCATCAAGTTTGAGCCTTAAACCAACATCCTGTGTGTGTTGCCACAATGGTCATTCCTTTTTCTAATTGTGTATACTTTATGGAACTTGGAAGACTTCTGCGTTTTTCTTCATATTCTTGCTTCTTTAGAAGGTATCTTGTCCAACTCCTGTATGGACATTCCAAAGATTTCCCAAAACACTTGAGAGGCTAAGTGGCCCTCCAGCCTGGTTCTGTCCATGTCTCTTTTTTTGTTTTTTTCTGACTACGATTTAGTATTTTCTTGCGCCCTGTGTTTGTCACCATGAACAATTTATATGCAAGTATCACTTCCAACACAGTAGGCATAGGCATACCTCAGCCCCTTCTCATTCTAGGTGTGTAACAGCCCACAAGGTCTCTCGTGAAGTTTGGAAACCCACTGCATTCAAGTTGATTCTGACTCAGAGAGAGTCTATAGGACAGAGCACTACTGCCCCATAGGGTTCCCAAGGCTGTAAATCTTTACAGAGGCAGACTGCCTCATCTTTCTCCCATGGAGCAGCTGGTGGATTCAAACTGTTGACCTTTTGGTTAGCAGCTGAATGCTTTAACCACTATGCCACCAGAGCTCCAAACTTTTACTAAGAAAGGAGGACATGAAGCATGTAGAGTGTCTCGGGATGGGGGGGGGGGGCATGCAAGCTGGCATAGCCCAGACTTAGAAGAAATGGGTGCCAGCTACAAGCCTGATCCGAACCAGGCCAGGGTTGACTTGGCCTCCCTGCCTGGGTCAGGCCTTGAAGAGTGGGGCCAGGGGAGCCCCCAGGAGCAATGAGAAGATCCTCACTGGTTCCCCAAGGCCCCATTCTCGTATTCTCCTCACTCATTCAGCATTTATTGAGCACCAAGGACAAGGAGTCAGAGATGATATGTCTAGATATTGTTTACTGTCACCATTCAACAGAGAGGTGCTGCAAATGGGGCATGGGTCCCAAAACAGGTGTCATGATCTGGGGGTATAGAGAGACAGGAGAGAACTCAGCCTACAGGAGAGAAGCAACTAAAAAATACCTGGTATAAGGGACCTTTACGATAATGTAAAACATGCTAAGGAATTTGGACTTTATTCTGAAGGTGAAGGGAGAGCCCCTGGAAGGTCTTTTAAAGGGTAGACTAAGAGATTGGTGTTGTACAAAGATGACTCTCCTGAGGTTAGATTGGCAAAAAATTACAAGATTAGTAATTTAACCAAGGTGGTCTGTGATGGGGAAAATGGCTACTTTATTTTTTTTTTTAATTGTGATTTGGGTGAAAGTTTATAGAGCAAATTCACTTTCCATACAGCAGTTCACATACACTTTGTCTCATGACATTGACCACAATTTACCACAATGCAACAGCTCCCCTCCCACATCCTCC